GCGAGAAGCTCGTCTCCGATGTTATAGCCACGTACTTCGCGCGAAGGCGAACATTGTCTGTAAGCCTGGCCTCCAACTCGAGGTGCTCGGTAAACGACCTAAAGGACGCCCCAGGCAACGTTGGCTTGACAAGTGCACGCGGATTCAAAGATAGTTAGGTGATAGGTGCTCATCCTGATCAGGCATTCGACCGGGATAAAGGGCGTAGCAAAAGGAGAGCTTACCCGCTATATAGCGGGACAAACGCTGAAGAATAAGAAGAAGAAGGACACATTCACGGGCATAGAGTGATCCGAAGAAGATTCTGCAAGTGACGTACCCCAATCAAAATATGGATAATTTTTCACATTTGTTTACTAAAGGAAGGCTTCAAACTCCGATAAAGTTTAAAAGAATATGGATGCCTTGGAAGACCGACGTGTACATTCTCAGTACACAAGAATTTTTCGGCAGCACTAGCACTACAGCCAATTCATGACCACCACTTCATCAGTCGACAAGGTACTCACCATCGACATGAAGAAAGTGGTTTCACAGGACGACGCGATTTGCCTGAATTCTTCGCTCTCACCCTTGAAAACATTATGGAAGGAAGGGCATTAGAAATGCGAAGATCGTAGGCTGGCAACTACTACACGTCCGCTTTACTGACCGCATCGCTTTGATTACAACGAACACCGCGGTCATTACTGCCCTAACGCACGATACAGAGATTTGAGCTCTACACAGGCAGGATGAAAGTGTGGTCAGCGCTATTCAGCAGCTCATAGAATGAGCGATATTCTGAAATTCCCGCTATACGCGAGTGGAAAAGGGCATCGCTGGTCTGGAACTCCATCGCTGGTCGGCGTACACTTGCAAAGTTTTCGATTAGGTGGACCAGACACGTCACGCTTTTCGAATATGACTGCTGGACCAGAATGTGGATTCTATGTGACATCAAACGCGCAGTGCGCTGCAACTCCTCCTAGAGAATCGTTCCGCAAATTCTGACAGCAAATTTGAGTTTAGTGTCCTGAGACGCACACGCCAATATGCATCTCATCCTGAATCGCCTCCTGTCGACCTATACTGTTGACCTGTTCTGGTAACTGAGGTCGACCTATCTAAATTGACATTCCCAGTTTGTTGCGAGTGACGAGCGAGACCTCAGCGTGACAGTTCAGTCTAAACTGCTGTGCGCTTCATTTTTCAAAAGGGAGCGTGGCTCCTACAAAGTGAGCTGGAGTTCCCACGGTGGGCGAGGCTTTCTACGGGGGTGTGGAGATATTTTTGGGAACTATACGGTAAGATTACTGTGAAGTGGGAGGAGCCCCGCCTGGCCTGGCTCTTGCCTACGGCGTGACCCCAGTTAATTACCTAGACTGGCTGACCTGCTGACCTCTCACAAGAGGCCTTTCAGAGACAAAGAGATAAAGCGAATGCGATTGAGCGAGATCATCAAGCGGGGCCCAGTCAAGAACAAGTGGAGCAATTCTGTAGGAGGATGGCTAAATATGTCACCAGTGAGACTAAATGATTTTTGAAGCGCAGAGGGCAGAGGGTATGCAGATATTTTTGGGAAGGTATACGGTTAATGTGTAGGATGAGGTGGAGCGTAGCTCGTCCTTTTAATTATCGCCTGGGGTTGACTCATTTGAGTTGTGTGCGGCGACTGTGACCTCGGCTTTCTAATGCAAACACAATATCGGTTGAACGAATAAATGAAGCACTTTATCACATTCTAATAATTACCAGTCGCCTCGCCGGCTGACGCCGCGCGGCTCCTTCCGATAAGGCCCGGCTGCGCGGGCGGGGCGGCTTCGTCGCGCGTACTTTCTTTCACATATTTTCTAGACTCAACTGATATCAGCCTTTTGTTCTGTACTCACTTTTTTTCCGGTTGTCTGAAGTACTCTTGAAGCTATTTTACAGATTCTTCGCCCGACTCGCCAACCTCAGAGCAGACCGCGCCACAATTTTTCTGCCCCACGACCTTCACCGGCGACCTTGCTGACTTAATCACTTTTTTTCCGGTGTCTGAAGTGTTCTGGAACCGTCCTACAGAAATTTTGTCTGACTCCGCCACCTCGAAGCAGGCCCGCCCTCGATTTTCGTGCCAACAATCCTCACCGTCGACCATCTGGCTGACCTTAATCCCTGTTTTTTCCGGTCTCTGAAGTGCTCTGGGACAGTTTAAGAGAATTTTGGTCTGGCTTCCGCTCACCTCGGGCTGGGCCCCGCCCACAATATGTACAAGGGGGGGGGGCCAAAAAAAGTCACTCTGCCTTCATTGACTTTCGAGGCGCTGTAAGCTTACACTTTATACATTCTCGGACATTTCTATGACCATATTAAAGACCATATCAAATACTATTATGACACTCCACCACAGCCTTCTGGAGGAGCCCCATCGAGAGATTCTGGCACGCGACCGCGATGTGATGCCTGAGATCGGCGAGATAGTCGACTTCTCCACTACCGTAGACCACCCTATTGAACTCCGCCCGAAGGCGGGATTCAGGTCAGGTGACCTACTTTGATATTCCATCTTCCTTAGGTACTCAGCCCCCTTCCATTCCATGTAGGCGAGAGTTTCTCCAACGCCCTTCGATTCCACGTGGTGGCCACCAAATGCTGTAGCCAGTACAAAGTTTCCAAGAAGGTACGCCGCGACGACATGTGGGAAGATATTCTTCTTGAAGTTGGTCATGTAACGCTACGCTCAGCTTCAGCCGGGGTCACGAAGAAACATTCGTCTTTCCATTCAGGTGCGTCCGCGTCTACACCATCAACCAGCGCCTTGGCGACTGCCGTAAGATGATGTCCTAGACCGGTAGCGACGTTGTCGGAGCTGCTCCGATGTTGAAGGTTTCGTTCGAGAGTACTGATCTCCAGATAGCTATCCATGAGTGACTCCATACTAGAAGTTTCGCAGCTGTTTGGAGGTGACATGGATTCCGAAGGACTTCCCCAGTCAGGCTGCGGCTGGAGATGACTTCTTTTAGTGTACATGAAGGTGAATGGGCGCGGGCCAGCTCCTGCTTATCGACCAACATCTTGGGTATCTTCCGCCCTGGTACTCGTGTCCACGTTTTCCTCTGGGCTGCGAAAAGCTTGCTGATATGTGACTCGGTCGAAGTGACTTTTCTCTGCCCCACTCCCCCCTGTATACCCCACATATCTCAATCGGCGACCCTCTGCTCACCTTAGTCCACTTTTCCGGTGTCAGGAGTGCTGAACTATTTTACAGATTTTTCGTCTGACTCCGCCCAAAGGGGAGCAGGCCCCGCCCACAGCGTTTGTGCCCCCACAGTCCTCACCGGCGATCTTTGCCGAACTTGATGCACGTTTTTCCGGTCCTTGCATGCTCTGGAACCGAGCTACAAACTTTAAAAATAAGTATCCTGCGATTAAGGGCAAGCTCCGCCCACTATGGGCGGGTCTTTCTACACACTTTGAGCGTGTCCTATATTCGCCGGATATTTACATTCTACACTGAGTTTTTTGCGACTTGCAAACACTCTCGCGAACCGGGTTACTGAATTTTGCGAGAAGCACCGCCCACCTTGAGTACGCCCCGCCCCCATTCAGGGTGTACCTGCCACAGTTAGTCTGGTGACTCCTTACTAACCTTAGTCCCTTTTTCCCCATCTTCAAGCTGCTCCGAAGCGAATTATGAACATTTTCTGCGGAACCCCAACTTTCGGCGAGTGCCCGCCCAGTGTGGGCGGGGCTTCCCATAGGTCAAGTGTGCTTTTTATTTCTTGTCCCATGCCCTACCTATCCCCACCTTGACTGGACCTCTCCAAGTCGTTCTTCAGGTCCGGACCGAATTTCCGGACAGACAAACTTACAAACTCACAAACGAACAAACAGACAAAGCGAATTATATATACCATTTTCACTTTGAATTCGCCTTTTTCAACCAATTCGCCTTTTTCAAACCAAATTCGTCCTTTTTCAAACCAAATTCGTCCTTTTTCAAAACCAAATTCACCCTCACTCTTCATCAAAACCACACTTATCAGGGCGGGCAACTCATCAACCAGATCACGCCAGACATCACTGCGAGTCCCGCCCCGACGGCCATGCCCACCTGTCAGCGCGGACATAGATTCTCAAATCTTGTTTCATAACTTCTGCTTTTGCTGTTTCCACAAACCTTTGACTGGAAACACCGTGCATTCACACATGGCCGACTCCGCCCATTTTCTAAAAGGGTTTGGCACTCTAGGCTGACACACGCCCACTGGCTTTCGCGGAATTTAGATGTTTTTTCAAACTTTTTGCAATTTTTAGGTTTGCTGCGTGAAGCCCCGCCCATGTGAGGAGGCTCCGCCAATTTGAGATACCCCGCCCACTTTTCAAAAATGGTGCAGATCGGCAGTATAGAGCCTTGGCTTGCATGTTAGGGGTCTTGTACGTCACTCGGAAAAAGAAAATCCGGCAAAGTTTATTCCGAATGATCTGCAATACACTAACATGCAAGCCAAGTCTCTATACCGCCGATCTGCACCATTTTTGAAGAGTGGGCGGGTCTTATTCAGAGTGGGCGGAGCATCTCACCAAAGGCGGGGCTTCACGCAGCAACCCTAAATTGCAAAAATTTCGAAAAACATCGAAAATTCCGCGAAAAAGCCAGTGGGCGTGGTCAGCCTAGATGCCAAACCCTTTAGAAAATGCAGCGGAGTCGGCCATGTGTGATATGCACATGGTTTCCAGTCAAAGGGTTCGCGGAAACAGCAAAAGCAGAAGTTATGAAACAAGATTTGAGAATCTATGACAAGTGGGCGTGGCCGTCGGGGCGGGGCTCGCAGTGATGTCTGGCGTGATCTGGTTGATGAGTTGCCTGCCCTAATAAGTGTGGTTCTTGATGAAGAGTGAGGGAATTTGGTTTGAAAAAGGACGAATTTGGTTTGAAAAAGGACGAATTTGGTTTGAAAAAGGACGAATTTGGTTTGAAAAAGGGCGAATTTATAATAGGTGAGCAGAATAAAGCCGTCCAAGTGGAATAGACCTCAGGATAACAAACTACCAATGAATACTGTGGCAGAGCGAAACATACACGACTGCTCGCTGGGGCACCGACCCGAACTCTATAAAAGAAATAAACTCAAACTTCAAACAAACATGATGACAGTCCTGACGGAATTTCAGCTGTCTCCTCGAGCAGAGATGAGAACTCGTCCTATGATTGCTTAGTGCATCCTGTCTGCGGGGCACACGCAGAAAAGAAGAGTATAGGCGCTGTTCGACAGTTGAAACAATCTTCATCGACCGGTCGTCGAGGCGTTCCACTCAAGTCACAGAAACTCGAGAGACGATTATAGCCACATCGTCGGTAGTCTTTCGCTTGCCACGAAAAACTGCTTTAAAGCCGCGACCAATGTTTCTCGACTCACAGCTGAACCATTTTGTTTCTTTCTTCGCACAAAAATTTAATCGTCTGCGCTTAAGTGCCTCTGCCAACTCACATGCGCGTCCTACCAGCGTCCCAACATTTAATGTTACAATCCGGAGATCCCATGACTGCGGGACTTCTGGACTAGCTTAGTTCAGCCCCCTCGATGACGTGCCATGCATCGAAGACCCCTGCGTAAGTCTCCATACTCGCCGGCTCTTGCAAGTGTGCGTCGGCTCCCGTGGACGTCGTAGCACTAATCCGAAAACTTAGGCATAGTTTAACATGATGATGTGACATAGGGTGTTCGTGGGTCGGCCCATCACGATGGCCTGCCACCTGCGTTTAAACGCCCGCTATTAGCTCACCGCACAAGCGAGTAACATGGTAAAATTACCTGCTCATACGCCATAAACTTTAATGCTGATTCCGGTGCAATCTTGATAACATTGACACCATTTCCTCTCCAAAACGATTTTACTCCTCCCTCTGCATGCAACAACCGTAGAGATAATAGAACACCCAGGTTGTTCCTTCGAGAAGAATGAACCTGAATGAGATGGCCTCACAGCACTGATACAAAACCACAACGATTAGTTGCAGGAAACTCCCAAATAAAAGAATTATGGTTGAAGAAATACCTGCATGAACACTTTAAGTCTGTCAAAGGGTGCTGTACACGATCTAGACATACAACCAGCTATGCCGCCCGCTACTAAGTGACGCCACCATACACCAGATACAATTTCTTGATCAGTGAAATCTTCTGGTACTTGGCTGTCTTCTCCTATATCTATCACCTTGAAGAGAAAATTGAGCTGGTGAAATAGTCAGATTTTCTCACAAAGTTAAAACATGGAATTAGAATGAAGATATACTCTGTGTCAGAGAAATGAACAACATGATATTCAGTTCTACTCATACCCAGGCACAAGCTCTTCCCAGTAGATTCTCTAGAAGAAGCCACATTTCTACCGCTGGAGGAATATTAAGTTCATATTTGACTCAATAGACCTTTGACAGAAGTAGTATGAAATATTTGGACGTGATGACACGTCTTTTCATGCTCAATTTCTAATCTTTCTATCTTTCCTATATCATGAATCTCCATAACGTACAGATATCGGATTTAAAGTTCAAGCATCGGTCTCAGGAACGAGGGAGGTTTTTCACTATCACAAGTGAACGAAGCGCATTTCGGGAAAGCTCTCTGGAGAACAGTGGAAAAGCTCTCCGGAGGACAGCAATTCAATAAGGTGTCAGCAAAGCCTCAAGGAAATTTGATCACTTCACTCAGTACACAATAAAAACATGTTTTACGCTTTTGCTTCAACTCTTAGATCGTTCTCGCTAGAGAACAGCACGCTTTTCGTGCACGTATGCTTTGCAAGATCCCTGAGGTACAAGAACTGTTGAAGAATACCCAGGCGTCCGCCCAATAGCAGAGTAAATGTCAGTGCATGACCAACGATTAAAAAAATGGTCTAGCCGTGGTCGCGTAACAGAAAAAATGGTCGCGTAACAGAACTCAGTCTCTAAGGCTGTGATCATTGTGGTCACCCAGTTTTAACGTAACTTCCGCACGGTGGCTGAGAAGTGGAGGCGTATTCCCGCATTTCCCCCGTTTTCAAAAACTTTGCAGTTCTACTGTATGCACTGCTGTGGCATTTTGAGCATTTACCGGTGTTTCCCTAGATATGTCACAACTTCGGTTTCTCGTTCTGAGTGTACATTGTGAAGTGATCGCTCAGCTTGCGGAGTCTGAGAAGGAGAGCTCCACCATTTCATGCCGATTTAAAGTTCCGCTCTAAACGAGCCAGAACATCGCCGTCAGTGAAAAATCCGAAGGCAGGAAGTAAGAGAGGAACGAGCTCTCTTTCCGATCAGTCACTATCTGTAGATTTCGTCCAGTTTTTGAGAGGGAACTGCTAAAAATGACAACCCCAGCACAAAGTCGATAGCAAAGAGACGAGATGCGGCGAAAAGCTACGGTGCCCCGCGTGGATGAACTGTTGTGGATTTGTTGGAAAAGACGACTTCTCCACTACTGAGCGCACGTACAATGAATGTTAATGCTCGAATTGTAGGCAGATGAGGCTATGGCTGCGCTAAACATAGGGTTGATTAAAGTGCATACAAGTTAAAGACACATGGTACCCTCAAACACATTAAGGGTGTATGAGACTAACAGCCCCCCAGCTGTCGATGTGTCGTGGTCCCCCCGCCCAAAACTGCACGGAGTCAGAGTACGGGGCCGTGGGAAAGTCGTTATTCCTTGCTACACCGCCCATTTTGCAAACTCTAACACGTCCGCACAGCGCGTGTCGCGTGCAGCTCTCTTGGTTTTTTGCCAAGTCCTGTAATTGCGCTTTGGAACACGAGTACAACGCAATTTCTTTATGCGGATAACATTTTAGGTGCTGCAAAATATGACTGAAGATAATGACGAGGGCTAGAACTCAAGAGCAACTGTGCTGCTTCTGCGATACCCTCAGAGGCCGCGCATTCGCACAAAACATCAAAATAAAAACTTCCTAAGCTTCTCACTCGTTAGTTCGAAGTATTTCTATAGCATCAGAGCCGGGTTCCGAGCCGGATCGTCGAAATGCACACGCGATTTTAATTTACTGCGTTTTCCTTGTTTTTTTCAATTTTGTTTTATTTACATCTACATCAGTTGTTCTGCATTTCTAGCCTTTGTCATCTTCATCACCTTCTATTCGGACTTTGAAGCATGAGAATACCTCAAATGTTAGGAAATTGCGTTTTGTTTGTAGTGTCATGTTTTATTGTCATGTTTTCCGTTTTTATTGTCATGTTCTGTGGGAATGCTCGGCTACTGAGGAATATTGCAGAAGCAGCACAGTTGCTCTTGAGTTCTAGCCCTCGTCATCATCTTCGGTTCTCATTTTGCAGCACCAAAAATGTTATTCGCATGAAGAAATTGCGTTGTACTTGTATTCCAAAGCGCAATTACAGGACCTGGCAAAAAGCCAAGAGAGCTGCACGCGACACGCGCCGCGCGGACGGTGTTAGTAAAAACGTGAGTTTGCGAAACGGGCGGCGCAGCAAGGAATTACGACTTTCCCACGGCCCTGTACTCTGACCCCGTGCAGTTTTGGGCGAGGGACCACGGCTCAACGAAGCTGGGGGGCTGATAGTCTCATACACCCTCAATGTGTTTGAGCGTACCACGTGTCTTTAAGATACCAAGATATTGACGGTTTCACAGTTTCACTGCTATAATACTGAAAACTGGCATTGGTTCTCGAACCCGTTTTTGTATTTGAGACGTCTCCTACTTCAGAATTGTTTCACAAAAAAAAATCCGCGATCCTCTCAAATGTTTCCAGAAGATTCATAGAAGAAAGTATGATTATGTGGCATAGTATGTCAATTGACCCAACTGATTCTGTCTGCTGAACATCCTCGAGTGCTTGTTTAGATGGGTGGCGAAACAAGGGTTCACAGCAGGGTAGAGAGCTCTAACATCTCTCACAGCTCTCTACGCAATAACGAACGGGCCAGTGGTTAAGAGTGTGTCAACATTCCCAACCACAGAGCCATTTCAGCAGCAACTACTAATTTTGAACAAAATCTGGCACCATCTTCATTAGTTTAGAAGGAAAGTCAGGCGTTTCCATGGCTAATCCATAACACTTTCAGGGAAGCCATGTTTTGTAAGCGAATGGACAACACAGCCGCCAAAAAAAGGCATTCTATTTTCTCACGTTCACGAACAGTAGTTTTTCTAGAACGAACCAAATACATGTGGAAAATAACCAAAAGACAAGGTAAACTGAAGTATGCATCCAATGTAAAGATGTTGTCTGTGAAATGTGAAGCTTCCGAAAACAATCAACGTAAACAGCAACCCACTAGATTATGCCTCCAAAAATCAACCATATCCTTTACATCAGAACTTGGATACAACAACATGAACTGCTGAAACTCAGACAAATCCACAGATGACGATCCGGACTGATCCATCCTGTAATGTACAGTTAGCAGGACTTATCATCCATGGGAAATATATTGTGTTCTACCGATCATTCGATAAGTCTGACTGCCTGTCTTTTGATTCCGAAAATTCATAGCACCCACGTGCAGTTGAACATAGCTGTTGAAGTGGGACATTAGTTCCAAAAAGTGATGCGGGGTAAGGGAAGAGAGCAGTACTAATGGATGACAGGAAGATATAGCATTGACAGTAGCTGGTAAGGTACGTTAGAATACAAGTGTGACTGAATTTTGCTGCATTCTTCATCGTTCCGGTCTAGCTTTCTCACTTACCCATGAAGAAAGATAGAGGATGGGAGCCCTGAGGGGTCACAGGCAAAGATAGCAACTGAAAATAACTGAACAGGAAGTATCATTGCTACATCTACTACGCTTCGTTACCTCAATAGCGCTGTAGATTAAATGTTAGACGCAAGAGAATCACTAAGTGAACCCATTTTCCACTTTTCTTTTATCAACAGCAACGAAGCTCACTCGACAGCTGAATTCTTGAATAGTTAGCTACGTAGTTTGTTGAAATAAGCGTGCACTGACACCATAATTTTTTCAGAAGACAATATGATTCCCTGACAAGAAAATTTGGAAAGATCCCCCGTTTTAAAAGGGTATGGCCACTGTCGGGATGGAGTCTCCAATGAAATCTCGTCTTCCCTTCAAATCATTTGCGATCCTACTCCTATAACATCTGTGATCCTACAACCACCCTATGTTTTTTGACGCGGCTTTAGAGCCGGAATCTTATGGCTGTAAAGCCGCAATCGCGCCGAGTTGTAGAAATTTACACGCGATTCCAATTGATTTGCATTTTCTTAATTATTTTTTGTTTTATTTACATCTACACTCGGTGTTCTTCACTTCTAGCATTGTCATCTTCATCACCTTCTATTCGACTTTGCAGCATGAGCAACACCTCAAATGTCACGTGCTATAAATCTGAAGACATACATACATACAAACTGACACACAAAGTTGCTGGTTTATAGATTAGAAGGATAGAGTGTGGGGATAAAGGAATCAGCTGATATTAAGCACTGAGCTGCTTGCCTGTAATACTTGAGCTACAGAGGCAGCTATACAGACTAAAGAAATCAAGTAAGGACAACTCTTCATCAGCACTTATCAAGTGATATCATTAATGTCACCTGTCCTCAAGGTCCCTGTTCCAGATCATTCGAAGTTGACGGTGTGAAACCAATACCGCCTCGAAGAGGGAAGATGGCGCCAATACCCGTTGTCGGTCCCTATCAGCTCTTATCACTTTCTGCCATCATACTGCCCCAGCCTCACACCACACATCGCATGCTGGAATTGACTTCCTGCTGTTGCTGCGACCCGCACTATGCATTTGGCGACTTCCCTCTTCCAGGCCTCTTTTCGGATCTTACCAAGTGTGATAAGCTTCTGTCGCCCACCAATAGTGTTACCGTCCCACTGCCTGCATTACCTGTTGGAACTCACTTCCTCCTATTGCTACGACCCCTGCTACGCATTTGACGACTTTCCCCTTCTACCGCTTCTTATCAGATGTTATCAAGTGTGATAACCTTCTGTCACCCACCAACAATGTCTCCGTCCCGCTGCCTATGTTACCTGTTGGAACTGACTTCCTACTATTGCTGCGACCCGTGCTATAAATTTGCGGATGGACCGACATACATACATACCTACATACATACAACATACAAACCGACACACAATGTTACTGGTATATGAATAGAAGGATTATGATTCTTTTATGGTTTACTATTTTGATTAATTACTTGCGATTTATTATGTCTCATTTTCTTCGTGTTTCTCACATTCATCCTTGATTAAGTTCGGGCCTTTTTTATCATTCAGATTTTCGGCTTTGATCTTCCTATTTTTGGTGTTTGTCGGCTGCTACAGATTAGCAGCCGAGTAGGTGGGGGGTGGGTCGTATCGATACCCTTTCTAAAAGGGGGGGGGCG